CTGATCCTAAAACACATCTTAGGACTTAAATTTCATCCAAGCCTCACTTCACCCAATGACTAAGTGTTTTCTGCTCTTTCTTCTCTGCTAACGCCAAGCATAAAAGCAGCCCTGTCATCTGAATCCTTCAGCCTCAAATACATCAGCATTCCTTCCTGCCACTGTTCGGCTTGTTGATTTGCTGCAGCATATTAGATAGCTCTGTGTATGTGTGTGATAAAATGGGTTGGGCCCCTCCCAAACCATCTGACTGTTCAGCAGCCATGTGAATTGCTTCCAGTGTCTGCCGGAATTGCCTTTACCGGCAAAGGAGGAACCCACTGCCTTCACTTTTCCTCTCCTCTTTGCTTTCTCCAAGTGGGCTTGCTGGTTAGGGAGGAAATTTACCATCTCTTGGCTTAGAGACGGGGACACAGACTCTGGTTTTACTGATTAACTCAGTTGTACCAGCAGCAGTGAATGAGCAATAGAAATGGTACTTAAACAAACATTCATGCAGTGCACTTACGGCTCTAGAGAGTCTGTGCAGTGTAATGAAATGTGCAGTGTAAGAAAATGTTGTTTCATCTGTTTCATCTTTGTTCCATTCTGCTGATTATTAATGTGTGATTACAGAAAGTAGGTTTTCTGATTCAAGCAGCATACATTATAAAGTATTCTCAGCAAAGTATATTAATCGTTGATTAATATTCCAAAATGACTCCATTTTTTCCCCTAAAGAATTTAGTGCAATGTGTGTGTGTGTGTGTGTGTGTGTGTGTATGTATGTATGTGTATATATATATATATATATTGAGGGCCACACAAAGTGACAACATACAACTGATTTCTCACCAAGAGAAAGCTTTCACGTTTGTTCCCTATTTGATCCTTCTGAAAGAATCAGGAATGAATGTATTTGTTTATGTTCACCCTTATTTTTGCAAAATGGCATAACATTAAGAAGTCAAGTACCATTAACTTTTGTTCCTCTCGTTTCCAGGTTTCACTGAGGTTGTTAACACAGGCTAATTAAATTCCTGAAGTATGAAAAGCTGACCAGTCCTCCTTTCTATGAAGAGGAAATTTCTTATTTAGATGGCCCTAAAAATAAGATGACATAATGCATGGGAGAAAAATAGATGCATTCACAAACATTCTTTTTACTGTAAGAAATCCAATTATATTAAAGAGCAGATAGACATCTATAATTATGGAAACCTCATGATGTCTTTTGCTCCCATATCTTGAATTACTACCAATAAAACTGTAATCAGTATATATATAAACAACACAAGAATGTTGAGCTCTATTATTATGATCTTCCTCTTTGGGAGCAATCCCCATCTATCTTTATAAAGGAAGGTAATTGTTGTACCAAGTTAAGCAATCACATGCTGGGTTACATATATCATTAAGGAGTCCGTCCTCATTCCAGTCCTCCTGAAAGATAGGTTTTGCAAAGCTCTTTTCTCTGCAAAGAGAATCACAGGATGCAAAGGGCTCGCAGTACAAACAGTGATTGCACTCTGTGAATAAAGGACAACTCTAAATCTGTTGATTCTGACTGGGTTTGATTTACAGTGGCACACAGAACTATCAACATTTCATGCCACGAAAGACTTGGGCGCTCTCTCCTTGAGCACGTGCAGAAGAGCAAGAGCAGGCATATTTTTAAAACACAGACTTAAAAAAACAAAATAGGCTTTAGCATATGCAGACAACTTTTCTTGCTGGTAGAAATCCCTTTGAAAAAGCAGTAAGGCCAAATTATGTTTTAGGGAATGAATTGGTTTAGTGATTAAGCACACACACTGCACTATAAAAGAGCCCTGTTTTAATCCCTGGCACCTCTGGGTTGGACTAGGAAAGATTCACAGGCCACATTCAATGGTTTTGCCATGCTCCCCCTCCCCCCCTCTTGAACCCAGCAGGATATCATGTTGTCCTAAATCTATCTGCAGTCTGCCTTTATGAGGATAGGGGCTGTGTTGCTGTCCATAAAGTTTTAGCATGCAAGCTTCTATGGGCCATGATTCAAACACTTGGTCAAAATTCCAGCTCTACCTAATGTTATCCAGCACATGAAATGCTTATCTCTAATTTTTTGAAATCATAGGCCAGCCATTTGACTCTTCAACCTCTTGACGACTTCCTCATTCATTCATTCATTCATTCATTCATTCATTCATTCATTCATTCATTCATTCTCACCTTTGAGTCAGTCATGACTCTTAGTAACTGCCTGGACAGGTCTCTACAGTTTTGTTGGTAAGATTTCAGAACTGGTTTGCCATTTCCTAGGTTGAGAGAGAGTAATGGCTCCAAAGTCACCCAACTGGCTTTGTGCGGAGGCAGGGTAGAGCTCACAGTCTCCCTGTTTCTAGTTTAATGAGTTAACCACCACACACAACTGCCTCAACTGTTTGCTTATTTGTTTGTTTGATGTGGGTTGGTTGAATCAATGCTGGCTCCTGGCAACTGTCTGGAGAAGTCTCTGAGAAGCCACAGGCAGAGCTAGAAATCATAAACTTCCAGTTTCTAGCTGGGTACCTCAACCACTACACCAAATTGGCTCTCTGTTGACCACTAGTTGGGAGCAAAGACTTGCATCTCCTGGTTGACTTCCAGTGGTTGCCAGCATGTAGCCAATGGATAAGTACTGCTCAAGAAAAAGGGGCTTAGTCATGGAGATTAGTGTGGCAACTATTACTCTTAGAACATAACATGAGCAGAAGAATTCAGAAGGAATTCTTTGCCAAGCAGACTACAAAAGTATAAGAACTGATTCCTTTCAATTACACCCTGAATTATATACAATAACACAGGCATGGGCTGGTTAGTTTCAAGGTTTTCTATTTTGCATGCTTCCTACTTTCTATCAGTTGGCCAATAGAGTAGGTCAAGAGATCAGAGACCAGACTGAGGTGGGTAATCCCACAGGAAACCAGCAGATCAGTTGAAACCAGAAGGTTGTCACATGGAGCACATCACTTGAGGGCAGCTTCCCTAACGCATATGTTTCTGTATATATTGCCTGCATAAAGCATAGCATTTTAAGATGGGATATTAGGAAACATTCCACCTTAAGCTATCATCAGGTATGGGATGACAGTGAGATACAGTTGGAAGCAGGTGGATATGCACTCAGGAAATGATACCTAGACTGTCCTTCCACCAGGGCAAGGAGGCTGAGTAGATTTCTCCAGGTACCACTCATTTATATCAGCTTTTCCCCAACCTTGCATTCTTCAAAATGTGCTGGGACTTGCAACCAGAATGGAGATTTCTGAAGGCCAGCCAACTAGGAATTCTGGGAATTGCAGAATGACCATTAATGACATGGAAGACAGTCTCATCGCTAATGGGTCCCCAAGCAATTCAAACCCATGGCAAGGCAATACTGGATTTTAAATATAAATAAATAATTCCATGATGATAGAAATAATTTTTGAAACTATGCCAAAACCCCAATACTGTGCATAACAGAGTATGCAGTGTGTGTGTGTATGAATACCAAAGAGATTAAATTCTTCCATCATGAGCTGTGGTGGCACAGTGGTTAGATTGCAGTACTTCAGGCTACTTCTGCTGACTGCCAGCTGCCAGCAGTTTGGCAATTCACGTCTCACTGGCTCAAGGTTGACTCAGTCTTCAATCTTTCCAAAATGGGTAAAATGAGGACTCAGATTGTTGGGGGCAACATGCTGACTCTGTAAACAGCTCAGAGAGGGCTGTAAAGCACTGTGAAGTAGTATATATGTCTAGTGCTATTGCTATATTCTTTTGCCTTGTCTTGCCCTTGTGAAGCCATGCACTTAGATGGGCATGACAGAATTGTCAAGAATCTCATTTAGCTCATCAATGATAACACAGTAAGAAACCATAAACATTAGAATGATTTAAATATGTTTTGTTTGCTTGAGGTTTCTTTTTATGTACTTAACTAATAACAAATTTTAATTGTTGAGGTGGGGGGTGGGGGGCGAGGTTGAGGATATAGATTTGTTCCAGTCCTCAATAAATGAGTAGTATTATTAAGCTCAAAATATAAAAGGCAGTCTTCCATTGTTCAGCAGGAATTGCAGTCACCACCACATTTCATCTCTTTGGGAAATTTACTAATCGGTCAATTAAGTATTAATCATTCCTAACGTGGCTTTTATGTAATCATTTTACCTTGGAGTTGTGACTTCCTGTGTATTTAATCCTCATGCTTCCATTCAACATAAGAATGCATTGTTCCATTTTATCTTATCTCATGTGGCTGACTGTGTGGTTTGGGCAGAAGGTACAGCAGTAGGAGAAACAGACTTCACAGAAGCAAAGTGAAAACAAATTATCTCCCTGCAGTATGCACACCACACTAGCTGGCTCTTCGGAAGGAGCAAGCACCAAACACCACAGTTGTCCACTCCACTTTCCATTTTTCATTAGCAGGCTTGCTCTGGTTTGGCCTGAACCTCTTTTCACATCAAGCTAGCCAACCTAGGTCTTGAAGGCAGCCATGTACATGATTTCAGGCCTGTTGGGCCCATCAGCATTGCCATGGTTACAAGGATATAGCAAGATTGCGGCAATACATCAGAATATCCAAATGAGGCTGATGCGGACTCAAAAAGCAAGAGAAGACATGTCAGCCACATCATTTGTTTAGTCTATCAACCACCTGCTGCATGTTTTTTCAACACCCTGTATGGGGGCGGGGGGAATGAGGGGTCCTTGGTGCTCTCTGAGCTTGGTTGTTTTGTTGTGGACATTTCATTACAAAACTAGGTAACATTTTTAGGGCACTGTGTCTCCTCATTTCAACCCTGAGCTGCAAATATTCCCTTTTATTGGTAGCACAAAAAGGGAATGCCTCACATTTGGTCATCCATTTTAGACATTAGTAAATTATTTGAGGGAGAAATGCTCAACCTTATTTTGATTTGGAAAGGCTTCCCCCCCCCTCTCCCCTTAAAAGAAATGCTGCTCCCCCTTTATACCAATAATGGTATGAGTGAGTCATGTATACTTACTTGGTACAAGTGGACAGACTCCAACACGTTAATCCACATCATGAAGATGTGCTTAATTGAGAAGAATTTCAGGATGAACTGTGGCCTCCAATAAGAGGCTACATGCAACTTTAGAAGCCTCAGCTCCATATTCCTCAAGCTACTTTGGTACCTCCACTCCAACCTTGGCTCTGCAAATGGAGCTTACTTTCTTTAGTGAACTTGCAAGTGGTCCCTTCTTGTACAAATCTGAGATAATCCTTGAGCCTAGGCAAACAAACAAACAAAAAAACAAGCCCTCTGTATATTACATGTTCTGTACATAAGTATGCACCGTAAGAAATGTGACAGATAAGACTTGGACTTCCTTGAATTGTGTTTGGTATGTTACAAAGAAATCTTATTATGGTTATGAGAATATTGCTACTATTATAGCTGGAAGGGTTAGCAGATCTTATTTTCTCAAAGAAAATTACATGCACTTGAAGCAGAAGGCTCCTGCTTTCAAGGGCACTGTGTGTGTGAAGGAAATATATTTTTAAGATGAACAACACACAAAACAGGCTTTCATTGTATACATTTCAAGGTCTTTTTGAGATCTATTGTGCATTGGGTTCTGCTTAGCTTAGACAAAACCACATCAGCAGGCAAACCTTAGAGCAGAAACACACAAAAATCCAGTTTAAAGGAATGCGTTGTCCAGAAAGGCCTTATTTATGGCTTACCTTCATTCTATTTGCTCTTGCCCAAATTTCTTTGTGCTCCAAGGAAAAATGGCTTTGCTCATCAATTTTTCAACGCGTACGCTAAAGGATTCTCTTTTAGGTGGCAGCAACCGAGCTGACTTTAGCTGATCTGGAAAAGCTTAGTACCATCTGATCCTATTTCTGCTTGGGTGGAAGGTCACCAGGAAACTATCAGGGCTGTGTGCCAGACTGGAAAGTCCAAACAAAAACAAAAATCCAGAGGAAGGCACTGGCAAACATATCTGCAATGTTGCCAAGCAAGCAACATGGATGCATCTGGGAAATTACGAGGAGTTAAGCTGACTCAAAGGAGACTTCATTCTAGAGGATACTTTAGTCAGCCTTCACAATTTCCTAAAGCTTTGACAAAATAAAAAGTGGTATTGGTTTTGTCCATTGAGTCAATTTTTCCTTCACTGCAGCCAGCCTTAATATTTTGGAATACAGTTCTAAAAGAACCTGAAAACAACCAGCTTTTGCTAAAACAGGAGAATAAAACCCAAAATGAATACAGCCTATTATAGAATTTCAGGGGGAAGAACTATTTTGCTTGATAATTTATAGTTTTCTCAAATATTTATGGGGACTCCCTTAGTTATATTTAAAATGAATAGATGACTACCAGCTATTTACTGTACTAGATGAAATGTCCGTAATGATGGATCCATTGCAGCTTGCTCTTAATTGAGTAAATGGGCAGCTTCTTTTAATATGAAACCAGAAAGTCAGCAAAACTGCTTGGTGTGTTTTTGGAAACCAGTTGCTTAGTAACACAATCAAAAGGCCTTGTCCTTCTTAAGGATCTTTTATGCATAGAAACCACGATTGCTATTAATTAATATTAATTAATTAATAACAATAATCACTTGTTATTAATGCAACAGTTAACAGGACCTAATCTGTAGGTCCTCACTGAGAAATGACTGTGTAAATGTTCTCTAGTTTAATGAAGTCTTGCACGATTTTCTTATCGTACAAGAATGGAGACAGGGTGCTTGGATTCTGTTCCTGTAGGAGAAGGACTGGGAGAGCTGGTGGGGGGGGGGATGAAAAAAGGGATCATCCTAGAATCACTTCATAGTCACAAACAAACTAAGTCCAACCCCCTCCTTGAATGCCATTGGCCCTTATTTAACTGTAACTAATGAGCATTAATTGAGAAGATTCTTGTGCATGGTCTTTTAGCAATACATTAGTTAAATTGAACCTTCACATGTGGACCTGACAGTTCCATTATCTCTTGTTCTCACTCCTAATCAATTGGCACAGTGAAAATGAAGAATTTGAAGCTTTGTCAATGAAGATTCTCATTGTCTGGAAGTTGAGTCATGGCAACTGGATTTCTTTTCATGTTGGTTCAAAACATTTCGCTGCTTATCCAAGTAACTTCTACAGTCTGAGCAAGTTTGTTAGATTTCTCACCTAACTTGGATAGGCTCATTAGATGAGTAGGCTGAGAGTCATTGGGATGTCAATGTTCCAATTCCTAAATCCTTTATCCTAGGTGGATTGCTAAGTGTGGCCTTCCTGTGAATCTGTGAAATGGTCTTAATCTTCCTGATGAAACAGCAACATAAAAAATGGGGGACAGGTTGTGTCTGAGGCCTCGACCTCTATTGAGGAAAGTATTTTCCATTTTGGCACTAATGACTTCCTCTACTCCTCTCTCAAACCATCTATCTTCCCTATTCAACATGTGAATATTATTGTCTTCAAAAGAATGTCCTATTTCTTTTAAATGAAGGCTTACTACTAATTATGTTCCTGTGGTATTGCTTCTCCTGTGTTGGGCCATCTTTTGTGTAAAATCTGCTTGGTTTCTCCAATACAGAGCTCTGAACACTCCTCATTGCACTGGACTGCATACACAACATTACCCTTCTTATGTTTTGGTGTGTCAGATTTTTAGGGTGGACAAGCCTCTGTCGCAGTGTGTTAGTGGGTTTTAAGAATACAAGTACGGCAGACACAGCTGAGATTCAGTTAAGAATCTGGTCATTCCTTACATGGCCGGTGTATCGGAAAAGCTAAAACAGGTATTTGGAAAACACTACACGCCTTGTGCGAAAGCCTCAGTTTTTGCATTCTGAATTTATTATGTCTGTTTTTAACTTTTTTTAACTGTTTTGTAATTTTTGCTATGCAAAGTTATTTGCATAAGGTGGGCGGCCATATACATTTCCTAAGTAAATCGTTTGTGCATATAAGATTCAAATCTTGCTTTATGGGTTTCCTTCAACCTGAAAGTGCTACTAGTTTAGAAGAACTGGTAAATACACGAAATTATTGAAAAAATGCTGAGCTCGAGTTAATTTAATTACTCCACTATTATGCATGACCTCATGATCATTTTTTTAGGGGAAGAGCAATAGGGCAAGATAGCAAATGTTTACACTCCATATTTCCAGAGTACCTGCAATTACACTAAAAGCTCAGTGGTCTCATAAATAAACACATTCATTCTTGCTTTTGGTGAATTTTTAAAACTATCTGTAGTTTTAAAAATGTATCTGTATAGATAGATTTTGCCTTTGCAATAATATAAACATTGTAGCATTTTTGGAAGGAGAAAGCTGCAGATTTGTGGATTGCACAAATCCACACGTACAAGAAAAGGACTCTCCAATAAGAGTATGCATTTGTTTACCCACCCTTGTCTTTACATCCCACCAGGCTGCTGGAGTGGCTGCAGATTTTCCAGCCATATTACTAGGCTATTTGCATTTAAATCGTTTTCTCTGTCATTATGTAAATGATGCTTCTTACACTCAAACTGTCCATTTTTCACTGGGAGTTTCACTGTGGGAGTGCCTGGTCCATTCTGCCTCCTAGAACGTGCAGACTATCTGGATTTTCTAGGACCCAAGATTTGAGTTTGATTTCCTAAACCATCTTGAAAATGCTGGTCTCTTTATCCGGTCTGCTTACCATGTTTTAATTTCCATTTTGATGGAAATTAGCACCTTAAACATATTGTCACTGTGCAAGAGTTACCAGATAGATGGGTACAGAGATAGAGATTGATATTCATAAAATTATGAACACAAGATTTCTTTGTGATTGCCATTTTAAAAAACATAGTCTAATCATTAGTTATATTGGCTGCCTGACCTCCATCTTTTTGGCGTTCTGAATGAATAGTTATTAAAATGCCATTCAAATTACTTTCTTTTTCATATTGTGAAAAAATATGCAACAGGAAGTACCAAAATATCAAATGCATATTGAATGTCTAAAATTCCATTTAAACTTCCATATCTTCTAGGGTTTGATTTCAAACTGATTGATTTTCAAGAGATCAGGAATTCCGTTCTAGAATCTAATATTAGATACAAATGCCACATGTTGTTTCTTTCATATGGGATTTCTTATTTCAGAGTCTCAGCTTTTTTCTTCTAGGTTATCTACAAACTAGTATATGGTAAACATGGCCTTCTAAAGAGAAATGTGATTTCATGGTCAAATTATTGCCATAAAGCAGTCATAAAAGAGAACCCCATAATTTGCATGAAGGCATACAGATAGCAAAGGGTTTTACAGAAATACTAGCAAATGGTTCATTCATTCACTCGGTGAGACCCAAATGTAATAATCTAATCACATGTCAATTTGTGTGTATAAGAGCAATGGCAGAAAAAGACTTAGTCTAGGATACACACCTATCATTCATGTGATGCGTTCATCCATCAGTCATTGCTGCCTATAGCCACTGAGGCAAGACTGGCATTCTTAGATTTATTTTCTTACTTTTGATAAATTGGCATAGGCTATGAAATCTTGGTATTTGAATGTTTTTGCAATCTTTTATTTTTAGATCTAGTGGTACGCTTAGTATCACTGATGCATTATTCTGTAGTTTTCTCTTGTGCTACTCCTACTTTTACTCACAAGGTATTTATTTCTGGAAGAACTGTGATTGCTATGTTTTATTCATCTTGCTGCAGCCGCTCGCTGGAAAGGCGCACAGACCAATTATTTTAAAAATGTTTCCTATTTGTTGCCTGCCAGCTGAATATTGAAAAGTTATCAAATCTACCAAACTACATGAAGAATTTTGCTTTGTGGTTTCAAAGGATCCAAGAATATTAAGCAGACATGCATGGGAGATTGGGAGCAGAAGGGAGGAAATAACATTTGCAGTAGCTTTATGCTATGCTGCTTCCCAAACACAGACTAAGTGCCTCAGGCTTGACCACATTGGTTCCTCAAACTTGACACTTGAGCCTACTATCTTGATGCCTTATTTCTAAGGCTGAAAATACACTGGATATGTTTACAAGCACTCTCGTATCATCTCTGGCATCTGCAACAAGGCTAAAGATGATTTTTCTGGCAACATAAAATTTAAACTAGGATCTTACAGGTTGGATGCTACTGGACTATACCTTAAAGAAATAGCCATGAGTCTATCTATGGATACTCAAAGCCTCCTTAAATATAGAAGAAAATGATGCAACATTTGTTCTAGCAATTGACTTCAACTTGCACAGTTCCATTACCAGGTTAGGCAGCAACCTTCATACC